TTTTCACGTAAAATAATTTGTAAAAGTTTCATGTCAAAAAAAATATGTCAATAATGTGTAAATTTTTATTTTTTTAGTTTTTCCCTCGAGCCCGAAGGGGTACCATCACTTTTTTTGGCGGAATTTTAAATCCATCAAAAAACTTGTAAAATTTGTCATGGATGTTTCCATTTACATGTAAAATCAATTGTAAAAGTTTCATGCCAAACAGACATGTGAATAATGTCTTAACTATTATTTTATTTGGTTTTGGCCTCGAGCTCTAGGGATACCATCGTGTTTTTTTGCCAAATTCTAAATTCATCAAAAAAGATGCCGAATTTGAAATGGATGTTTTTTTTTACGTAAAATACTTTGTAAAAGTTTCATGTCAAAAAAAACATGTCAAAAATGTCTAAATTTTTATTTTTTTAGTTTTTCCCTCGAGCTTGAAGGGGTACCATCACATTTTTTGGCGAAATTTTAAATGCATAAAAAAAGTTGCGAAATTTGACATGGACGTTTCCATTTACATGTAAAATCACTTGTAAAAGTTTCATGCCAATTAGACATGTGAATAATGTCTTAACTATTATTTTATTTAGTTTTGGCCTCGAGCTCTAGGGTTACCATCGCGTTTTTTGGCCAAATTTTAAATTCATCAAAAAAGATGCCGAATTTGTAATGGATGTTTTTGTTTTCACGTAATATAATTTGTAAAAGTTTCATGTCAAAAAAAATATGTCAATAATGTCTAAATTTTTATTTTTTTAGTTTTTCCCTCGAGCCCGAAGGGGTACCATCACTTTTTTTGGCGGAATTTTAAATCCATCAAAAAAGTTGTAAAATTTGTCATGGATGTTTCCATTTACATGTAAAATCAATTGTAAAACTTTCATGCCAAATAGACATGTGAATAATATCTTAACTATTATTTTATTTGGTTTTGGCCTCGAGCTCTAGGGGTCCATCGCATTTTTTGGCCAAATTCTAAATTCCTCAAAAGAGATGCCGAATTTGAAATGGATGTTTTTTTTTCACGTAAAATACTTTGTAAAAGTTTCATGTGAAAAAAAACATGTCAATAATGTCTAAATTTTTATTTTTTTAGTTTTTCCCTCGAGCCCGAAGGGGTACCATCACTTTTTTTGGCGGAATTTTAAATCCATCAAAAAAGTTGTTAAATTTGACATGGATGTTTACATTTACATGTAAAATCACTTGTAAAAGTTTCATGCCAAATAGACATGTGAATAATGTCTTAACTATTATTTTATTTCGTTTTGGCCTCGAGCTCTAGGGGTCCATCGCGTTTTTTGGCCAAATTCTAAATTCCTCAAAAAAGATGCCGAATTTGAAATGGATGTTTTTTTTTCACATAAAATACTTTGTAAAAGTTTCATGTGAAAAAAAACATGTCAATAATGTCTAAATTTTTATTTTTTTAGTTTTTCCCTCGAGCCCGAAGGGGTACCATCACTTTTTTTGGCGGGATTTTAAATCCATCAAAAATGTTGTAAAACTTGACATGGATGTTTCCATTTACATGTAAAATCAATTGTAAAAGTTTCATGCCAAATAGGCATGTGAATAATGTCTTAACTATTATTTTATTTGGTTTTGGCCTCGAGCTCTAGGGGTACCATCGCGTTTTTTTGCCAAATTTTAAATTAAACAAAAAAGATGCCGAATTTGAAATGGATGTTTTTTTTTACGTAAAATATTTTGTAAAAGTTTCATGTAAAAAAACATGTCAATAATGTCTAAATTTTTATTTTTTTAGTTTTTCCCTCGAGCCCGAAGGGGTACCATCACTTTTTTTGGCGAAATTTTAAATCCATCAAAAAACTTGTAAAATTTGACATGCATGTTTCCATTTACATGTAAAATCACTTGTAAAAGTTTCATGCCAAATAGACATGTGAATAATGTCTTAACTATTATTTTATTCGGTTTTGGCCTCGAGCTCTAGGGGTACCATCGCGTTTTTTTGCCAAATTTTTTATTCAACAAAAAAGATGCCGAATTTGAAATGAATGTTTTTTTTTACGTAAAATACTTTGTAAAAGTTTCATGTAAAAAAACATGTCAATAATGTCTAAATTTTTATTTTTTTAGTTTTTCCCTCGAGCTTGAAGGGGTACCATCACATTTTTTGGCGAAATTTTAAATGCATAAAAAAAGGTTCGAAATTTGACATGGACGTTTCCATTTACATGTAAAATCACTTGTAAAAGTTTCATGCCAATTAGACATGTGAATAATGTCTTAACTATTATTTTATTTAGTTTTGGCCTCGAGCTCTAGGGTTACCATCGCGTTTTTTGGCCAAATTCTAAATTCATCAAAAAAGATGCCGAATTTGTAATGGATGTTTTTGTTTTCACGAAAAATACGTTGTAAAAGTTTCATGTCAAAAAAAACATGTCAATAATGTCTAAATTTTTATTTTTTTAGTTTTTCCCTCGAGCCCGAAGGGGTACCATCACTTTTTTTGGCGGAATTTTAAATCCATCAAAAAAGTTGTAAAATTTGACATGGATGTTTCCATTTACATGTAAAATGAATTGTAAAAGTTTCATTCCAAATAGACATGTGAATATTGTCTTAACTATTATTTTATTTGGTTTTGGCCTCTAGCTCTAGGGATACCATCGTGTTTTTTTGCCAAATTCTAAATTCATCAAAAAAGATGCCGAATTTGAAATGGATGTTTTTTTTCACGTAAAATACTTTGTAAAAGTTTCATGTCAAAAAAAACATG